CGGCCCCCCGCGTCCCGCTCGCGGCCGCCCAGCCAGCAGGGCCTCACAGCACCTTCCTCCTCCTCCTCCTTCTCCTCCTCCTGCTGGTGCGCCTGCGCCCTGGCTCAGCCTCCATCTTGCTGCTCCGGCAGCCGGCACCCAGGCCCTTCAGCCTGCCCCGGAGGCCCGTTTCTTCTCTGGTGACAAAATGTAGGTGGGGGTGACCCTTAAACATCAGGGGGAAAACTGGAAAGAAAAAAAAAGTATATATATATATGTGCTGCTTTATTTTTAAAATAAAACAGGCTGAGCTGCACTTAAATCGTTATTTGTGGCCTGCGTATTGCTGCGCCAGAGGAGGCGCTGCCGGGGGACCGTCGCCGTGCTGTTACAAACCTGCAATCCAGCAGCTCCTCTGAAAGCTGCTCTCCTTCCGCTAGCATCTTGCAAAGGGGCAGCAGTTTAAAGTTTGAAATTTTGCGGGTTTTTTGTTTGTTTGTTTGTTTTACACATGAGACTGTAATGGTGTGATGAATGCGCTGCTTTGAAAGCCTCACAAAAGTGGAATTCGGTTAGAGGCAAGCAGTACTGCTGGGTCGTGATGCTGCTTGTTTCAGGAATACCCTTACTCATCAAAACCACATACCCCTTTTGATTCCCTTGACCTTGTATTGTGCTTTAGGGAGCAGCCCAATTTTACCAGGAAAACCAGAATTTTGGAAAACGAAACCTACTTTCTTTCCCTCACCCACTCCCAGCATAGTCATTCAAGCGTTGCCCTAGGAACTGAAGGCCAAAGCAAGACGTTCATCCTTGTCTCTTTTTGACTGCGCACACAAATGTCACACTGGAGACCAGGTGTACTATATTTTTTATCAAGTGCCTCTCTTTTTATTAAGAAATTTGGGCTTAGCAAAGAAAATGCACAGTTTCACTGCACCAGAGGGGTGAAAAGCTGGATCTTGTAGAAAAAGGAGACATTCCAAAATGTCAGGGTGTGGGGGAAAGAACAGTGCATAGATTGGGAAGAGGAAAAAGTGGTATATGACAGGAATTCTGTAGCAAATCACGTTCAGCTGAGAGTTTAGGAATCAGTGTGGGATGATGGATAGAGTAATTACTGAACAGGAGAGGATCAAGATAGGGAAACTCCTTGCATAAGGGCAGACTGCTCCAAATAAATGCAGGGCTACAGCTCTATATGCACCATAGCCCACACTCTGCCTCTCAGGATTGAGCAGGACTGCAGTGCAGACAGCAGAGGCTGCTGTCTGGAAGGAGTGTAAGTTCAATGCACATTTGGAGATATGGGTGGAATCCTGAAGCCCTCTGTGTGAAGGCCAGGGGTTAGTGTTTGAGCTACGGAGATGAGCACCTTCAGAGCTGGAATTTCCTGCTCCTTTCTGTGCCGATTTACTGGATGTACTTCCTGGATGGACTTTGGACCTGAATCGTCAGTAACTTCATCCCCAGTCCTGTTTCTGGCCCTGTCTCTTTTGTAGGTATACACAAGGTATAAGTGGCCCTTTTTCCTGGATGGACCTTGGACTTGATTGGGATGTGATATTGCACTTCAGGACCCTCATGTCACATCTCTGCCAGCTCCATAACTGCCCTTGCTCTGTGTCATTGTCATCCAAGGTCAAGCTGGGATGACAGATGCGTGGGTTGGGGTCTGAACTGACGGGGTACCTGGCTGGCCCCAGGTGTGGCTGCAGCATAGCTCCGGTGGGAGTCAGGAGCCTCAGCTTCAAAGCAGCTCCCCAGGAAAGAAGCAGGAAGCCTGCGCTGAGGTGAGCAGAAGTAGTTTTCAGCTTGCCTCACAACAGTTCTTACCAGGCCTTGGGCAACCAGCTACACACGCCGAAGGGGACAGAGAGCACTTACTGTCTCCTTCAGGCTTCAACGAGTTGAATTACAGCTCTGTCCTGGCCTCCAACCCTTTTCCTTCTGCTCAAGATTTGAGAGAGATATTTTCTGTAGTGGAAATCCTGCTCCGAAGGGCCTTAGTTGCCTAACAACAGATTCTCAGATTAGCTTAAATTTGACTTGGATAGCTCTTTATCTTTCGTAGCCTGCATCCAGCTGGCTCATCAATTCACTTATCCCTGCCCTTTAGCAGATCCTAGATGGTCTCTCTCAGCTCAAAACTCAATATGAACTTCACTTGCATCCTTACTCCAGCCCTTATCCCATCTGTCAACCTTCAAGCAGAGTGCCTCTGGAATTCCAGCTTGGAAATAAACCATTTCCCTCACCTGCCCCCTAAGCTGCCAGACAAAGCAGGGGCTGTCCTGCAGTCCCAAATGCTGACTGAACTGCACATCTCTCCTGAGCACAGCCCTCATCCTACGTTGAGGAGGATCTCAGGGGAACCCTTAGCCCTACCGTACATAGTTCCTGTGGAAAACAACGTGGCTTTCTCCCGCCCCAGCTCACAGTTCAGGTCATATCTCAGGGTATGCGGCAGAGTGTAGGTGCAGGGAAGTCCTGTCTGGCTCCTTTTCTCAACATGCCTTTCATACCCCTCAAAGGTGGGGAGAGTGGACCTCAGGCTGATGAACTTCAGATTGGCTTTAGTAGGACTTTGGGTGATCTTTGTGCTTCTCAGCCTGTATCCAGCTGACTTGATTGCAGAGTATCAGAAAAAACCCTGTGAGCAGTAAAACTACCAGCTGTGTAGTTTTGTCTGCTGAGATCCATATATAATTGTAACTTCCTCACTGGACGGCATATTGCTAGGACAGAGGCTGGCAGACGTGCCCCTGAAGATACAAGCACCATCGAGAGAAGCCTGTTTTCCTGAGGTAGGAGCTGTTACTTCAGATTCAACAGCCTCCTCGCTGTGACTATTACAATGTAGTGACTCATGGAGATGTTCAAAACCAAACCAGCTGTTCAAAACCACGATTTTTGGCTGCAGCAGCAGCAGGGTTTGTTTTCCCTTTTCTCATTGTTGCTTCCATCTTGTGACTCTCAAGGGTAGAGATGGAGAAGGTACTGTTTTACCATGGGAAATCACCGAGAGTCTTCTTCATAGTTTTGGGAAAATGTTCTTTTTTCACTAATCAAAAGAAAATACACTGGGAAATGAAAAAAATCTGGGATTCCTGTCAACTCCAGAAGTTGGCCTTTATAGCCAGTTTCAATCGTTCTTCTAAGCTTGCTAGGTGACAAAAGGCAAATCATCTCTGTGGGTCTATAAGGGCACTTTGACATGTTTCTGCATAATAAAAGAAGACAGATGCTGACTCATAAATTGCTGATGTGAACTTTTTAGCTCACAGATTTATTACTGATTTATTTTCTATGTTAAAATATAGTTCACAACATGACTTAGGTTGAAGGAGAAGAAAAAAAAGCAGAGTACCATGCCACCAAAGTTTCCTATGAGATGCAATGAAGTGAGATACAAAAATGCTACTAAAATAAAATAAAATAAATAAAAAGCTTTGCCATCTTAGTCATTTGACCTGACACGTTCAGCAGCCACAGCAATGCCTGAACGGAAACTTAATAGTCCAAGCTGCAAACATACACTGGCCAGGACTAAGAACCAGTTTATACTGTATTTCTAGTTTGGCTAACAAGCAATTACAGCACCTTCATTATGTCATTTCATTTCTCTGCATCCTGGCTTCATAGAAAGGATCAATTATGCTTCCCCTGTTTCATAAAGCACTTCAGAGTTACATATCAAAACCTTTAAAACTAGGAATTGCAGCTATGTTTCACACAAACGCATATATTTTTGAACAGATAGGAGTCGGCATCTTGTACTACGTTCAAGACAGAAAACACACGAGTAAGAGCACACTTTATTTTATAAAGAATTAACACAGAGCTTAACTTCAAAGGAGACACAAATAACATGCCTAGGCTTAAAATGAAATATGGAAATATAGGTATGTATAGATTATGTATACGTGCGTGAAATGAATGTATAGTGCTGAACAGCATGCATTTTAAAGATAAGTATAGAATCAGGCAGTAATGAAGTCAGATGCAGAAATGCTGTTTAAATTAAATATTTTATTAGCTGTGCCATCTTGAGTTTTCTGAACACATTTACTAGTCCCAACATTACCAAAACTGATATTCAGCAGCCTATCCTGCATTTTTCTGTAGGTTGAAGGGATTTCCACCACCAGTTTTGCTTGGATATAGCCCAACATAGTGCTGACTAGAGAACTGATCGTTCTTTGTTTTCATATGCAATGAGCAGGGATATTTCTCTGGCTCCTGACAGTCAAAAGGCCACAGCACAGTTATTATTTACCCAGTGAATAGCACACACCAGCACTTTCACTGCTGATACGAACTACCAGACTTAGCATCCTGGACTGATACCAGCATAGCTAGTTTTGAACTCTACAACTCTACAGAGCTGGGAAAAGCTGTTACTTCAGGGATGCTGCTGGCAAACGTGCTCTTATTGTTTCTCTTAGCCAGAGTTCATCTTACAGATTGTTCTTGCTATCATCGTAAAAAAACAAGAGAATAAACTAATTTATAATCCCCATAATGTGTTACAACCTGAATAAGTGCAATGGGTGATGGGTATATGAACTCGCCTTCAAGCCCTGAAGGGCTTCATCCAAGGCTTCTGGGCAGCCCGAAGGGGTTCAGGGCTACACGATTTATCATAAAATCAAAGAATGGTTTGAGTTGGAAAGGTCCTTAAAGATTATGTAGTTCCAAACCCTTGACATGGGCAGGGACACCTCCCACTAGACCAGGTTGCTCAAAGCCCCATCCAACCTGCCCTTGAACACTTCCAGGGACGGGGCTTCCACAACTTCTCTGTGCAACCTGTTTGAGTGTTACAGCACGCTCATAGTAAAGAACTTTTTCCTACCATCTGGTCTAAATCTGCCCTGCTCTAGCTTAAAACCATTGCCCCTCATCCTGTCACCACATACCCTTCTAAACAGTTCCTTCCCAGCTTTCCTGTAGCCCCCTTCAGGTTCTGGCAGACTGCTATAAAGGTGTCCCTGGAGCCTTCTCTTCTGCAGGCTGAACAACCCCAACTCTCTCAGCGTGTCTTCACAGGAGGGGTGCTCCAGTCCTCTGATCCCTTTTGTGGCCTTTCTCTGGACCTGCTGCAACAGGTCCATGTCCTTCTTGTGTTGAGGGCTCCAGAGCTGGATGCAGTACTCCAGGTGAGATCTCACAAGAGCAGAGCAGAGGGGCAGACTCACCTGCATCGACCTGCTGACCACATTTCTTTTGATGCAGCTCAGGACACCGTTTGCATTTTGGGGCTGCCAGCACACCTTGCCGGCTCATGTTGAGCATCTCGTCAACCAGCACCCCCAAGTCCTTCTCTGCAGGGATGCTCTCAGTTGACTCACCACCCTGCCTATATCTGACACCACAAGAGACTTTCTGCCAGGGAGTGAGACCTCTCCTCATCGTGACAGGTCCAGGCCCAGAGGTCGTCCTTGGCAGATTCTGCTTGTAAGGACGAGTGTCGTATGTGTGTTTTCCATCAGCTCCAAAGCAGTGCTTGAAAAAGGCTGTTAAAAACCCAAACCAAACAAACAAAAAATCAAACTAAAACAAAACCAAACACACAAAAAACCTAATAAAAAACAACAAAAAAACCCAAACAAAAACAACCAACAACAAAACTTTAGCTAGATTACAAGATTGTGTAGTTGTCTGGGTCTCCTGAAAACTGAACTTCTGGCTCAGTCAAGTGACGGGTTTAGGGGGCGG